CAACTCCCTACACTTCTTCCTTCTAGTCTCCCAAAGGCTGCCACCCTTGGTGAAGTCAAGACAGCTAAGAATACAGGAAGGTGTCCGAGAAAGATGAGTACGTCTACAGCCTGCAAGAGGTGAGCCTACAAATAACCTGCCCTTCCTGGATGAAGACGGCTTCAGGGATGTGCCGCATCCTAGGTGCTGCTCTCCAGTCGGAAGGGCAGAGGTCCACCCAAGAGAACAAATCCATAGCTCTGACACTTGAAAGCTCCTCTATCAGCCAGTGGCTTACTAGGCGAGGCTTAGCAGGACCAGGGGCTGAGGTACCTCTTTCTCTGCTTCCTGCAACCAATGGGGCTGTTCAGAATTTCAAATGCAGGCTGCCAGGCCTCCTAGTACAGGGCCCATTAGAGCCATGGGCCCCACAGACTCCAGTATCCACTATGCCTTCCTGTTTCTGAGCAGGTGACCGCTTCCATACGTTCCTCTTCCAGACACTGGTTCACAGTGCCCAACAGCCATCAGTCCTGTGAGAGGGTCCCAAGAGCCTGGAATACTTCTGAGGCAGCAATGGGGCCTCCTGGGGGTTGGATTGGGGTGGACTCCAGGAACAAGCTCACAGTTAAAGCCAGACAGCCTCTCTACTCTCAAGACTGACAAGCCCAGGCCCTCAGCATGGCCCCATGCTGGCTAGCAGTGGCTGAGTTAGTTCTGGAGATGAGGGGGCGCTGGGCAGGGAGCCCACTGTCTCCTCCTCATGACTTCCCTTCCTCCTCATCCCAGGAGCCTCCTTGCCGGCCAACTGTACTAAAACTCCGGAAAACCATGGCGGGGAGGTTTTCCAATTAGAACATTCTTTTTCCGATCTGTGGATGATTCTTAAAGCAGCAAAAAGCCATTCTTCAGGGCATGTGGGGATTATCTGCCAGCAAGGCCTTGGCTCAGCTTGTGCACTCGTGCTCTGGAGGCCTAGCCTGGGGCAGCTTCAGAGCCAGAGAGAAAAGGCAGAGTCTGTTCTGGGGCATCAGGTCATTCAGACAGAGACTGCTAGTAGAGTGTGTCCTGCTTATTCAAAACAGTGTATTTGCAAGACAGCACAGCTCCAGCACAGCGCTGGAAGTCCTTTGACAGTGGCCCATCTCAGGAAGCGCATAGCATCCCAGTCCCCTTACTGGAAGATAAGTTAAAGACTCCCAGCAGTTTGCAGCCTGCAGAGCAATCAATTCCTGAGCATGGAAGTTGGTCTTCAGAAAGAGACTTCTCTGCCTCTGCCACCACCCCAGGAGCTACCTGTTCCTGGGTGAGACGGAGGTGGCAGTGCAGTGTAGTGGGTGCTCTTGACAAGAAAGAGTGTTTGTCCTTGCTGGGGAAGAGACAGAGCCTCATAATGGACAGTGCAAACTGCTGGGGTTGTAGGAGGTCCCTGAAGGCAATGTTTTGTAGGAGAGGAACTCACCCCAAATGCTAAGAGTTTGGGCTACCTCCTAGCAGGTGAGCTGATCCCTAGTGTCACAAGCTCAGGGCTCCATAGATCTCTTTCTGGGTGTAGCTCTGCTTGGCTTAGGGACCCCTAGCCCCAGGGGACCCACCCTGTTGAGAGTCAGCAGAGTCACCCAGCAAGTATAAACTGGTTGAAGAGCTTAGCAGGATGAGGCAGCAGGGCAGGACCTGGGAAGGGGGGGGGAGAGGGGATTAGGGTACAAGCAGGAACGTGGCACTCCCTGTACACAAACTCAAGCACCCCAGCTTCTACCAATTGAACACATAGTCCATCTGGAGCCTCTGGACTCAACTCTGCACCAGACTGGCTTCAATCTTAAGGTCCCGCTCCCTGCTTCCATTTCTCCATGCGTACAGCTGCAGGGTTCAGGCCATTTGTCGCCAGTGTATTCTGGTATAGGAATCCTCCCCGGGCCTCCTCTGGGTTCTGGTAGCTTTCAGGGTACCACTTGTTCCCTTCCAAGCCTGGGAACTCTTCGGCTAAATTGGCCTGCCTGCGTTCTGTTTCCAGCCTTGCAGATGGGAAGGGGCCACCCTGGCAGCTTAGTGATCCTGCTAGCCCATTCTCTCAGAAAGCCACCTGTCCCTTGGTCCATCTGTTGACTTCAGTCTGGTCTTCCGGAGAAGCTATTTTGGCTGTCTACTCTTGAGTTGTGACCCTCGCTGAACAGAGCCACTCCCTGCCACCCCTTTCCTTTCCTGGCAGTCCAGCCTGCTCTTGGAGCCTTCTACACTTAGAAGCAGCACCTGTGCTTTCAGAGTAATGCCTTGTTGATGGCATGCCAGGGGGCTACTGCCCAGTCTCCTTGGGTGCTGCGACCCAAGCTCAAAGGATGCCGGAGCTATAAAGAAAGGTGGAGGGGAAAACTGCAACTCTGAAAGGAGACATTTTGGCTAGTCTCAGAGCTGAGCCAGGGGCTGCAAGGCACAGTAGTGGAAAGGAAGGCCACAGAAACCTTGGGCTAGAATTTGTGGGGTGTCCGAGGAAAGGTTCATGAAGACAACAACTTGACAGCTGAGAATGGGTAAAAAATTACCTGATGTCCCCAGAGAAGAAATGTCGTCCCAAACCAAGGGGCTTGGTCATATGACAGCACTTGGTTTATCTGAGTCCATATTACGTGTGCATATCTGTATGCTAGCACTTGAGAGGCTGAGGCCAGCATGGGCTACATAACATCCCTCCTCCCCACATGGTGCCTGGCTGAGGTATCTGGAGGTACCCCTGGAAGAGGGTGGGAGTGGAAAGCATCATTGGAAGAGTCTGTCGAGGCAGTGAACAGGTGGGCAGGGCAGGGCAGGGCAGGGCAGCTACCATTCGAGTCAAACCCGTTTCCAGGCAAGATCCACTGCAGGGCCTGGCAGCCAGGCTGAGAGGGAGGAGTCGAAGGCTGCTCTCTTTGACTAGACCTGTCATGAGGGATCTATCCTGGGCAGGGACTGAGTCACTTCGGACAGGAAAAGAGCTTGCGGCCAGTTATGCTTTTGGATACCAGTCCCGTTCATGCTTTTCAGATAGTCCTGATTCAAGGTTCTGGAGCAGGCAGAGCTTTCTGTTTTCTGGTGGACCTTGGGAGACAAGTGCCATCCCCTTATTCGTCCCTCCTCATGGTGTATCACTTCATTTTACATTCTGCCTCTTTTTAGGCTAGGTTCCAAAGGGTGTGTGATCTACTAGATCATATAGTTAGTACGTTTGGGAGCTAGGATGCCAAGCCAAATGCAAGACCATATCAGTAGCCTCTGTGGAAGAAGGGGAAGAAGCATTAGATGCTAGTCACTAGTCTGGGGCCAACTGAATTGAAAGGAGAAAGCCACCTATTAGCAGAAGACAAAGAGTAACCGCTCCCCCAGAACATGTGGAGTTCTTCTTTTCTGTCTGATAAACCCCTTGAAGAGAAGAGCCCTTCTTTTAGACTTGCAATCTCCCACCTCTTCCTTCTACAAATGCCCCAGATTCCCTGGTCTGGTTTCTGTGACCCAGAGATCATCAGACAGGGCACCAACCTCACCATGGAGAAGAAAGGGAACTGGGGGAGTGAGTGCACAGAAGGAAGTGCTCAGCTTGACTAGGTGGCAGGCTGCAGAGGGTGAAGTCTGAGGAATGACTGAGTTCACGAGCAGAGGGCTAGAGGAAAGGCACTTCAAGAGTGTGAGCACAGTCTGCGGTGTGAGGACCCATGATGGACTCAGAAGACATGGGGAAGGCAGGGGACTGGCTGCTCTTGCATACAGGTTGACCACAGGGAACCCCTTAGGCCTTCTGAAGACATCCATCCACTTTGATCCGAAGAATAACAGGAAACTGTAGGAAAGAGCTCTAAGCAGGTAACATCTGGTCATAGTCACTCAATGAAGCTGCTTAAACAGACTTCCGTGTGATAGCTGGGTGGGAAGGAAGTATAAGTTGCAAGGAGACACCAGTGGGCAGATTTGAAGGCTGTAGCTATAAAATTGGCAAGACTTGAGAAGTAGGACCTATTGGCTTCTCTCTTCTCTCCTCTCTCCTCTCTCCTCTCTCCTCTCTCTCTCTCTCTCTCTCTCTCTCTCTCTCTCTCTCTCTCTCTCTCTCTCTCTCTCTCTCTCTCTCTCTCTCCTTGAGCTACCTTAACTATCTCCTCTGTTGTAAGGCCTTCCCTGACCTCACAGGTAGGGTTAGGAGCCTTTGTGGGGTGTTCTTTTAAATTCAACAACCCCTACACCCTCTCACCCTGTGTCTTGTACACATTAAGTATCCAACAAACATGAAAGAATGTCATTTATCAAACTGAATGTGTGTCTTCTGGCCTGGTCTGAGAGGTGGTCCTGATTTCAGCGTTCTGCCCTGCCCCCTCCAAGAATGACTTTCCAGGGTACAAGTTTTCCCAGGCGCCAGACAGAAGTTTTTTGCTCACTTTTTTCTCCCCTCCCTGACTTCCTGCATGATCTCAACCACCAGTCGCCACCCCCCACCCCGGTCCTTTCCCCGCCCCTGTCTGGGATCTCCATCTGTAAAATGGATCTAGGCACAGTAGTTCTCGACAGAACTGATCCGCCAGCATCTGTGGAAGTCGTTGGCCCAGAGCCTGGGCCAGATCTCACCGGGCGCAGGCAGGGACGCCACTAGGCAGTGGGGCCCTTCACACGGTGGAGGCCTCCCAGCCCCGGGGCTGGGTGCCCAGAGGAATTAGCCTGGAAGTTTTCCATGGCGGCAAAACTTTCTGGAGCTCACTCCAAGCCAGGCGAGTGGAGCCCCAGCCTTGATTTCTCCAGCAGCCCCGCGGGACGGAGCAGGGAAGGGGTGGGAGGACCGAGGACACTGGCGGGAGAATGTGCGGAATGTGCCAGGCGCATCTACCTACCCCAGGAGAGGGCAGAGGAAGGGGGCCGGCCGAGGGGAGGGGCGAGGGGCGAGGCTCCCTGCAGCCGGAGAAAACCTGTTTGTTCTAGGGCGGGCGGAGCCCAGTCCGTGCCTCCCTGGTTCCCTGCGCTCCCCGCTGCGGCCCACGCCCGTCGACGCGGCCCGGTAGGGTCAAGCGCTGCCCACCCGAGGGAGCCCGCGCACCACACTCGCCTGACCCTCTGCCCATCCCACAAGCCAGGCACCTGTACCAGGTAGGGTTGTCGAGTTGCCTGCCGTCCGAAGGACGCGACTGATCGGGAGGCAGCACCCGGTCTGTGTCCTGGACACAAGGAAGAGCCTCAGTTTCCCTACCCATAATTCATACTTGCTCCAAGCATCCCTTCTGGGGTTCCCATCAGGGAGGCAGTACCGTCGGTTTTCTGCTTTTCACTGCTAGTGAAGAAACTGAGAGGCAGGGTACTTCAGTGTGACCAAGAAAGGCAAGTGGCCCTCTGGCCAGCCTTGTTCCTCTGTCCTAATCATTTGAGGATGAGACTGATTGTTGGTAGAGCGCCGGCTGGGAGGGGGCAGGGTGAGTCTAGAGTTGGTGTTTTGCAAAAATCACGGAATCTCCCATCCTCGGTAAAATGTGCCCATTTTGTAGATGAAGAAACTGAGGTGCAGAGGCAAACTCCGAGAATCCCCTCAATGGCCTGGAGCCTAGGGCAAAGGGACTTGATGGTGGTTTGTGATAGACATGTGCTGGGCATTGGGCAATCTCAGGGCTGGAAGGGAGCTGCTCATACTCAGACAGAAGGCGCCGAATCAAGTGTCACTGTGGTGTTATCAGTGGGATCTGCCGTATACAGTCTCTGTGACTGGATTCTTTGTGCGGGGGCAGGGGGAGCCAAGAGCCTCGTCCTCTTTGGAACTGCATAGTGATACTTGGCCTCTGAGAACGACTGAAAACTCAGGCCCTCCTGTCCACCCTGCCACTTCCTTCCAAGCTGGCAGCTCCACTGGTCACAGGGAGAAGCCTACCAGGCCCACCTTCCCCTTCTGGGCCGTTGAATCTCTGCAGTTTGTTGGGAGTTGTGTTCCCCACAAGGCATTTTTACTGAGTTTTGATATTAAGGTGGTTGGTGACACTTGCTCTTGGACTTGTCTTGGTCTCATGGCTCCTTGGAGTTCTGGTCATGGTACCTGGATTGGGGTAGAAAGCAGGTTTCCACAAGCTGATGAGCCTGAAGTGGTAAGGGGCTCTGAATCCCAGAGCTGCAGTTCGGAGGCTTAGGAGGTTATCTTCCCATAGCCTCAGCTGGCTCATCTGAACAAACAGTGCCAGCTTGGGTGCCAACAAGTCTCCAGGGCACAGGTGCATTCACCAGGTCCAATTTGCTGGAGGGCTTTAGTGTATGTGCTGTTCACCTCACCACCCTCAGCCCACTCACCGCAGAGTTTGACGGAACAGTGCCATCTCACCTGTCCTGCTCCTGTGGGTTCTCAGCCCTGGCTAAGGTAGGCATTGGCACCTGTTGCTGAACTTTTTTCTGCATGCCAAGAAAACACCCCCAATTCTGGATTGATGTATTCTGAAAGCCAGAAACCTGCCCTTCTCCTCTCTCACTGAAGTCTCCCTTTAGTTTGGACGTTGCTTCAAGCCATAGCCTATACTGTGCCAGGTCACACATAACACAAATTTGCCTTCTGCTTGCTGAGCCCTGAGGCCACTTTCATTGCCAGCCCCATGGTGACATGGGACAGAATCATTGCCAGGAAAGAAGAAAGCTGCTTTCTAGGGTTCTGGGGCTCAGAGAAACTTCCTGTGTTGCAGTCCAGACTTTGGACACCCATGGTTGGGAATGGACCTGGGTGCCCACAACTTGTCCAGCCTCTTCTTCCCAAGCCAGGCCCTCCCTTGCCTCTTGCTCCCATGATCTTAGAGGAGGAATCATCATTCCCAGTTAAACCCTCTCCTTGTACCAAAATGCTTAAATAAAAGGTGGGGAGCAATCTAGGCCATAAGAAGTGCCCAGATTTGTACAAGTGGATAGTTGCTGAACCGGATTCTGAACTCAGTGTGGCCTCTGGGCCTTTCTCTTACCCATGAGGCCATAAAGACACTATTCTCACTGACAGCACACCCTGCTAGGGACAATACGTTGGCTAGTTCATCCCCCTGATCTGCTGTCAGTTCCTGTAGTTCATTGTCCTGGTCCTAGTATGAGCTGGCTCTCCATTGATATGCCTGGTGTCAGTTCATTTTTCTCAAAGGGAAACTGAGACGTGGAATGGAGCCCTTTTACCTTGTGTGGATCCACGTGGAAGCATCTGGTAGGTCTTTTCAGTTCAATTTCCCTGCTAGAATGGTCAGAGTTAGAGGGTGTGGACAGGGAAAGGGGTCTGAGTGGAAAAGAGACTGGCAAACTCAATGCCGTTTTCCTGGGCTGATGTGCACACTTGGGCTCAGAGGCGAGGAGGCTGGAAGGGATCTGCAGCTCAAGCAGATGTCCCTGGGGAATTTTCTCTCAGAAACACGCTCTGGGCTTTTCCTGTGGGCAGTGCTGACTTCTTGTTTTGAGGGAGAGCTAGGAACTTAGGGGTTAGGTAGAGCAGAAGACGGGCAGTTCTTTACTTACTTGGTAGCCCCTCTTCTTGTACAGTTGCCCTTGAGGTTACTGCTGGTGGCCTGGGGGGAGGCTGTGGAGCTCTAGAGACACACCCTGGATTCAGAGGAGACTTGGCCTCTGGGGCAGTGGTGGGCAAGCCCAAGCTACTGGTGGTGCCTGTTGGTGGTCCCTGTCTTTGTATCTGTCTGTGGGCACATCTCAGGCCTGAGGTTCAGCCCCCTTGGGCTAATCCCTGTGATGGTTGGCTCAGAACACCACTTTGTGATGACTAAGTCACTTTTCCAGAGAGCTTGATGTGGCAGACAGTTGCTATGGAGAGAAGAGTCACCAGGATTCCAGTCACAGGAATGGGGAGCCCTGTTGAAAATGCTGACATCAGGCACTGCCTGGTTTAGCCTAGAAAGAAAAAAACCACAAAACCCAAAAAACAGACCTTGCCTCACTATTTCTGTCCATGAGCGCACTCATCTCTCCTACTCATTCTTCTATACTTTAGGACCTGAGCCAAGGGCGCCTCCTTGGGAAATGCAGAACTCTGGCAGGGCCCTCAGGGCCTGTCTCTCTTCCTCTGACTTCTGTGTATCTCCCCAGCACCCAGCCTGACTAGTACTTTGCCATAGGTGCTTGTTGCAGAAAAGAAAGTGTGATCTTGGGCAAATGCATTCTCATCTCTTGACTTCCATATTCTTATCCCAAAATGAGGATTGTTGTAGAGGCAAGGATGGAGTGAAAGGGACTTTGGGTTTAAGCTGGGCAGGGAAGTATGAGAGAGGGTACAGAGGACCTGGACGGGAAGCCTGTGGAGAGAGCTGGAGGGGCTGCTGGGGAGTGATCCTTTCTCACTAGAGGATCACTTGCAAAAAGGACAAAAGCAGTCTGGGCCAAAGTTAGGAGCAAGTGGGGCTGAGTTCTTATTACCTTGTGCTCTGGCAGAGAGTGGACAAGTGGCTGCTGTGGGGTACGCAGGGGAGAAAATGTTGAGGAGGTGGTGGCTTCCAAAGTCCCCAGCCCCTTTTGACCTCGTGATGTGCCCATCTGCAGATGGAGATAGCATCTCTGAGTGACTAGGCTGGCTTGAGACCTTAGAGCTCATGTTGCAGAAAGCTATTGGGATGTGAAGGTGTTGAGATCGCGCAGGTAGCTTGGCCTGTGGAGGAAGCCCTAGGAGCTCTTCATGCCCTTTCTTGTACTGCGGAGGCAACAATGGTAACAATGCAAATGGCTCATATGGGGAATTAGAGCAGGGGTCTTGGAAGCAAAAGGTCCCATGGTTCCTGCTATCCTCAGCAGGCTGGCCTCACCTAGATATCTCAGAGGCATCACTGAGCGCTCTTCCCAGCATCCCTTAGTAGTCCTGTAGACCAAGGCACCCCTGAAGTGACCCAGTTTCTCTAAGCAGGTGTTTGAGTCCATCCCTCTGAGAGCCAGAAAATGGATACAGGAGAGCCGGGGAAATTCTGGGGTCTTGGGAATGGCAGATAGCTAACAGTACTCCTTCCCCTTTGGGGTTTCAGCTCCCTACCCAGTTGGGAAGGACTTGGCCTGTGTCAGACATCTTCTTCCCAGGATCTGCAGACGCCAAGAAGTCTAGAATCTGGGGTTTGGGGATGGGATGGCAGGAGATGAAATTCCAGACTTTCATGTAGAAGTCATTTACCTGTAAAGCACATTTAAAATACACCCCCCATGCTTGCTTTTTCCATATTACATTTTCCCCTCTGCAACCCAAGTCTCTTCCAACTTTTTTTCCACGTAGTATCCCTCCTTCCCTCTGCCTTGTTGGCTTGCAGGCAGGAGCTCCAGTGATTAGAGCAATGGAGACAGGTCGCAGGCTCCTGCCAGAGGGGCCCAGCCTTCAGTTCCTAGGATCTGTACACTGAGTAGCAGACTCAGGAACTCAGACAGGAGCCAGCTGCTGCTCAGCCTTTGCTCTGGCAGAGCCAGCTCTGTCCAAGGTCTCTAAATCACTTGCAACTCCCCTCCCAATCCCAGTTCTGGATCTCAGCACCTCCTGCACTAGCGACAGCAGTGTCTCTTCTGGATCCTTATGGCTGGAAAGCAACCTGTCTGCTGACTACTGCTGGGGCTCAACTTGAAGACAGTGGGACTCAGAATGCCCAAGGTTACAAAACCTGGCCACAGGAGGCTGCTTCACAAATGTAACATTTCATCATTCCAGTCCTTTTGGCCTAGAGAATCAAGTTGGCAGCTTGCGTGATAGCTTAGGTCAGTCTGGGTCCAAACTTCATGGACCAAGTGCATTCCTTGAGAAAGGATCGAACCAGCGCAGCTAAGTATGCTGAGTTTAAGTTGGGGATAGAGGTCGTGTTTCCTAGCATTTTCAGCCCCTCATAACTCCTGGCAAGGACCTGGAGTGAGAACCCAGTGCTTTTTCCAGCCTGGCAAACCCCATGTACCTGCTCATCCTTGCACTTCTTTCTGCAGCCTCTAGAGGGAAACTGCGGCAGCCAAGACTGCCTGCTATGCTGGCCTTCCACCACCCATACAAAGCAGCAAACACTCTTTGGGTTCTGGTGGACAGGGTGATAAGCAGAGAAGCTGTTCTGATGCCTCTGCTTTCCCCACAGGAAAAACCAGATACGGGCTTGGATACATTTTGAGAACAAGGCTTCCCTAAGGCC